CACTATTTATCTCTCATCAAAAGTGCTTAATAATTTTCATAATAATTTGATTATAGAAGATTGACCAAACATTATATAATTAGTTTGAATAAAATATTAATGATTGATATAAGGAAAAAAAAATCACGATTACAATATCATTATTCGTTGTAGCACGTAAACTTATAATTACTTGGTTGATTTTGTCTTATTAAGCTAACAAATTTGCATGATTTGTGGACTAACCACGTGTACTTGTTTTTTATTTCTAAAAAATAATGATAAATATAACTTCTAGGACGGTTACCTATGAAGTCTAAATTGAGCTGCAATAGTTTGTTTGTTGGCGTTTTTAAATACATATGGACCTAGTCTTAGAATTGAAAAATGAATAGCCAACAACTTCCTTTTCATGTTCATGGCATAGCATCTGTTTAGTCAATTTTGATTCCTCATATAATAAGGTTTGCCACATTTTTCTTTTTGCCTTAATTTGTTTTAGGAAGTTAGAAAAGAGTAAAATAAAACTCATGAATTAATACCTTTAGGTAAGTGCATTAAGGATATTTTAAGCTTATCAATTAGAGGTCTAATTCAAAACTAAAAGTTTGTGAATTTTCTGATCATCAGATTATAAAGAAAAGCCTAGATGATCGTTAAGAGGAGTCAATCCATTAATCAAGAAATTAGTAGAACTTAACAATATTTTTTTCGACCATCAAATCGATAATATATACATTTAATTGATAAATTCTCAACTTGTAGTTATTATATATTTATTGAATTTCTCAATGTAAATATAAAATTTGTAAAAAATTACTTAGGGCTCATTATATATATTGGCCAACATAAAAAAGGCTAAAAAGACCTTACTTGATCTGGTCTAAAATTTCCCCATCCATGTGTATTTACATAATATCTCGGATGTTCTAATAATTTATATAGCATAAAGTATTCTATAGCATATACATTATTTCTCTGTTTCAAGTCATGTGGTATATTTATTTTTTTAATTCGTCTAAAACAAATGATATAGTTTTCAATTTAAAAATTAAATTAACTTTAAACTTTTCTTTAGTTTAGCATTTAATGAGATACTTTTATAAATATTTATGATCTTATTTCAATTTATGTATTTTAAAATTCTTTTGTTGTTAAAATCAATATCGTCCAATCAAGCATTATCACACACAAAGTAGAAGAGAGTGGGTAATAATTTGACATAATTTATGTTTATACAAGGTGAAAAGAAAAAAAAACGAGTGTTTGTAATAATTTTTAATGCGATAAAAACAACTTATAATCACAAATAAAAGAAATACAATTATATTGATAAACATTATGGCTACAAATTTGTTTATTTCTTGGTTCTTTTCTTCTAAGATTTCTCTATGATTTGAAAACATTAGTAGTGTATTTTTCGAACTTAGATGATTTGAATTTGATGCCCATGAGAGAATTTGTGGATTTTTATTGAAGTATTTCATTATCAAGAAGTTTGATTTTCACGAAGAGTCTGACATATTTTATTTTTTAGAAATACTCAAGAATTTGATTAGAAAGACAATATATGATATCTTCCTAATCCCTTTATGAATATTCAAGAGTTGTGTTATATTTGAGAAATATAATATCCTTTATATAGTTATAAATTAAAATAATCTCTAAAAATCTTAATCGAAATCGAACAGATCTCCCGCCTATCGTGTTTATGTACGAGTTCAAACCTTTTCTTTATAGGAAGCGGATCTCAAAGCTTCGTTAATGCATGACCCAAGTGTCCACATGCAACATAAAAGCATGGCTCCAATATTTAGAAAAAATTCTATCTTTGATTTTCACCCATCCCCTTAAACACTTACAATTTGGTCTTTAAACAACCTTTGACCAAATGTGGGCACAATTACCCTTACATTTAATTCTTTTAGTACGGAAAGACGACTTTCTATCATTTGTTCACACTATAAAGCAAGAGTACATCCTTCATATTAAAACCAAGGAAAGAGCGAGATAGCAAGAAAATTATAATTATTTTAAAATAAATTAATTTTTTAATTTTAATCTTTTAATTAAAAGATTAAAAAAATTTAAAAGGTAAAAATATTTTAAAAAGTAAAATAACATAGATAACGCTAAAAAGATTTTTTTAAAAAAGTAAATTGTTGGTGTATGATACACTTTTTTATTCCAATAATACTTGTTACTATTCTCCATGTTTTAATTATTTATCCATTTTTAAATTGATATTTACTAAGGAAATAATTATTGATGAGTTTATAATTTTATTTTTATTAATTATAAAGTTGATAAATCAAAATTTTAAATTTTTCAAGAAGTTCTTAGTGTTTAATAGGTAAAGTAATAGTTAAACTATTCTTTCTTGATTAGTCAAAATGGACAAGTAATTAAGGATAACTAAAAAAAAAGTGGACAAATAATTAGAGACAACAAGTAAATTGTTGGTGGATGATATACTTTTTCTGTTTAGCAATATTTGTAATTATTGATTTTGCAATTTTTTAAGAAAATATAAATAAAATGATAATTTTATTATATCACTTTTTAAATATAATAAATATAATGTCTTGAAAAATATAATAAAAAAATGACTATAATTAATGATGATGGTAAATTAGGAACTATTCTTCAACAAAAATATTTAAAAACATGAAATATTTGGTTACTTCAGATTATTTTCAAACTATTCTAGTAGAGAATGTAAAATAGTTAAGAACTTTATTACTTAGTAGAGGTTTATTACTCCCTCAGTTTTTTTATTGACGTTGTGAGTTTATCATTTTACCCATATTAATTATAAAGTGGATGAAAAGATTTACATTTTTCAAAGTAATTAATCATTTAATTGAGAATATAATAGGTAAAATTTTTTTACTTTTCTTGATTTATCAAATTAGACAAATAATTAAAGACAATTATAAAAAAAAATAGTGGACAAATAATTAGGAACGGAGAATATCCTGTTACCACATTAATAAAATATATCAAGGGGGCTGTTCCCCGAGTTTATATTACCCATCCTTCCCTTTCAAAATTATATATAGTAATGGCATTTTTTTAAAAAAAAATTTAAAGATGTGCACAATTCTAAGTACGGTTCTGGAGTTCAAATCCTATTTCTTTTTCAGTTTTTTTCTTTTTAAAATTAGGTAATACATCTCTAAGGGATTATTGATAATATTTTTGACGTTTTAGCTATTATTATTTTATTTTATATTTATAATTTATTTATTTGTTTTAATCTTTAAAAACTTTTAAGCTTTGTCACACTACAAAAATCCTATTTTCTAGCGCTATAAACTTTTTACATGATTAAATCAAATATGTACATTAAAACTAGATAGTAATACTGAATGATATAGCATATTGTCAATGACTACAACCGCTCTTGATATCATTTCGACGCAAGTGGTAAAAAAGAAAATATCATTTGAATAAATAAGAATTATTTTTAGATCTGTAATTTTAAATTTTTTAACAGTTATGGTAATTATAAGAACTCTAAGTCAAATGGGTCAAAGTTTAGTCTTAGATCTATACTCCCTCCGTCCCTTTTAACATGTTTAATTTTAATTTTTTATTTGTCTTTTTTTTTAATTTGTCATTTTTGATAAATTCAAAAAAGACAATATTTTCTAATTTATTATACTCTCAATTTATTTAAAAGTTAATGTTTTTGAAAAAAAGTAAATATCTTCAATAAGTAAATTGATTTTTGAAATTCTATCGGTTAATAAAGATAAGTGGTGAACTCTATGTCAAAAGTATTAATTTTTTAATAGGTGTGCCAAGTAAAATAATGAACGAGTAATTATGCGCAGAAGGAATATTTCCGTAATAGACCGACCTTCAAAATCTTGAATTTGTCTTTGTCTCGCGAGGATTAATAAAATAAAGCTTAGACTCCCCCCCCCTCCCCACCTCCCTTCCCCCCTTACTTGTACCTTTACTTGTACTCTTCTCTTTGAGGGTTTTTTTTTTGTTTTTTTTATCAATAAAAATCAGCCCTAATTATCACGCCTAACATGTCAAATTTGTATCTTAGATCTATTTTTTTTAATTGTAATTATAATGCACTCATTCTTTCGAAACTCTGAACATGTTTGCCTCGTTAAAAATAAGACCTAAACCGACTTATTTATGCTTCTCTTTTTCAGATTCTTTTTGAGATTCCCTTTTTATATATTAAGTAAAATTAGCCTTAGCCAACCTTGAAAAAAAAATTGTTCTATGGTAGTAGAATGGTATAGTTACAATTAAAAAGTTTGTTGAGCAAGCTTCCAACTTCCTACGTTGTCACCTACCTGAGTGGCGCAACTTTTTAGGGGAAATAAGTGGTGAAAACAAATGAATGAATGAAAGGAAAGCGTAAAAATAGGGTTGAGAAATATTGCATGTGCTAAGTAGGGTCAATCAAATCTCAAGTGTAACAATTGCATGTGCGTTTTGGTAGTTGTTTTATTTTATGACTTAAAAAACTAATGGTTCTAATACTCTTTCTTTCTTTCTTTCTCTTGTGTATTTTCACACGATGTCTGTATTATAATTCTAATTAAATTCAAATCATGTGCGGTAGAGTCTATTTGAGGGTGACACTGCCAACAAGATCATATCGAGATCTTTAATTAAGAGCGAAACAATTTTACCAACTGCATTACAACTCATGTTGGTCTAGTACTCTTTCTTTTCTATTTTGGTTTCTTACTTGATGTTCGGAGTCTGAATTGAAGCCTCGACTAAATCTGAATGACGCACTTCAGGGCTCATGCAGGAGTGTGGCGTTCCCAACATAATTTTCTTCATACTCAAAATTTAAACCTGAGATTTATGGTTAATAATAAAGCAATCTCGCAATTGCACCAGAACTCATGTGTCTTTCTTTCAAAACGTGGACACTTTAAACTTGCCACTTTCTTCTATAATTAATTAGCATATCTTATGCCTAAAATTCAGCTTCTATTTTTTTTGTGTATAAATAGAACTTTGTCAATAACCCTTGGCTCATATCAATTCCCACTCCCACTCATCTCTTATCCTCTCCTTAGTTTTAATTTACTCAATGGCTTCACTTCCACTTGTTTTCTTCTTTTTAAGCTTTTGCTTCTATTCTACTTTTGCTGATTATGGAGGATGGCAAACTGCTCATGCCACTTTCTATGGAGGGGGTGATGCCTCTGGCACAATGGGTATATCCACTTGTACTTTCTTACTTTCCATCAAATCGACTCAAATATATAAGTGGTCTAAAGCAAAATCTAAATAGAGGCCTATATATTTTTGTAAAGTCTATTATAACCAATTATTTAATTTTTCTTGAAACATAGTATTCAACATTTGTCTAACTTATATTACTTCTTTTACAAAATAATACTTGATATTTTTAACATATATACATTTTTTTAAGAAAACGAGGCGCTCAAATTTGGGGGCTAAGACAATTGAGCGGCTCCTGCTTTCCATATAGTTTTTCACATTTAAATCAGGTTAACTATACATTAATTATTAATAAAATTAACTTATAAGTGTAAAGAATTTGTACATTACTAGTGGACTTTTTGACTTAGTTTTTAACTTATACCATGTCATATTTTCTAGTATGGACGCCGTTAGTGTATAAAACTTAAACTTGTTGTAGTATAATAACATATATGGTTGTCCAAACAACTGCAGGGGGTGCTTGTGGATATGGAAATTTGTATAGCCAAGGGTATGGAACTAACACTGCAGCACTAAGTACAGCACTATTCAACAATGGTTTAACTTGTGGTGCTTGTTATGAGCTCACTTGCAACAATGCAGCTCAATGGTGTCTCCAAGGGACTATTACTGTCACTGCAACTAATTTTTGTCCTCCGAACCCGTCTCTACCTAACAATAATGGTGGTTGGTGCAATCCTCCTCTCCAACATTTTGATTTAGCACAACCTGCTTTCTTGCAAATTGCTAAATACAAAGCCGGTATCGTCCCTGTATCTTTTCGAAGGTAAACATTAGTATTGACTTAATTATTATTTATAAAAAAAAGTAACGAGTTCAGTTGAACACGTAATAATATGTGAATTTTGTTTGCAGGGTGCCCTGTATGAGAAAAGGAGGAATAAGGTTTACAGTAAATGGACACTCATTTTTCAACTTGGTTTTAGTGACAAATGTTGGAGGTGCTGGTGATATTCAATCAGTTTCAATTAAAGGGTCTAATACTGGATGGCAAGCAATGTCAAGAAATTGGGGCCAAAATTGGCAAAGCAATTCTAATCTAAATGGTCAAAGTCTTTCATTTCAAGTCACCACAAGTGATGGAAGGACACTCATTAGCAACAATGCTGCACCAAATAATTGGCAATTTGGACAAACTTTTGAAGGGGCTCAATTTTAATTTATTTACTACAAAGCACAAATTGAGGGGTTTTCAACTTGTAATTTGTATATGGCATAAAAGGGGTGAGTAGGTTTGGGAGAAAACTCCTTATGGTGGGGGGTTTGGCTCTATTGCTGTGGTGGCTGGTTTGCACCCGCTTAGGCCTATTAGTAATTTTATTTTATTTTTACAATTTTAGAGATATTTGATTAGCGGCCATTTATGGATTTGAGGGTCACTTGAATATCACATAGATTTGTCTATTAGTAGTTCCTAATTCATTGTGTAAGCAGAATTAGGGCAACTTAATGTCATCATGTTATCCTTCTTTATAATTGCTTTGGTTCATTTTCTTCTTCTATATCTTTCTTTGGGTTTGCCTTTCTGATCGATGGCTCGACAGTGTTAAAAAAAAGATATGTCTTAAACCCCCAAATTTAAGAAGGGCTCATTTTTAATAGTAATAGGTTATAAGTTATTATTTTTTAATAAATATTGAATATTATTTGTAAAAAAAGTAAACTTTTCATGAAAATGAAGAAATCCTTAGAAGAAAATTGATATATTTGAAGTACTATATCTCATGAAAAATAATTTTAAATTAAGGATAGTTATATTATCAATTGAAAATTATAACAAATCAATTATATAAAAGTTCTAAACAATTCAAATTTAAGGCCCCATTTAATTTTTGTTTTAGGTCACTAATATGCTTGAGTCTCTCCTGACTTTTCTCATTTGACTAATTTGCTTCTATTGGCAAGGCAAGTGAACAAGATCAATATAACACTTACACTAATCCTTTCAAACCTATAAGTTGGTCAAACTAGTTTTTAAGTATTGTTTGATATACACTAAGAGATCGTACGGTACAAAGATCAATACTTCAGGGAGTAGTAATACATTTTTTGGTAATGCAGAGATTATTTTTATCAAGTGTTTGGTTCATTGTTTTTACCTAATTTTGTGTGTGGTTTAAAGTTTACAAAAAATAATTCTTTCCAATTATACGCTAAAGTTATTATGAGATTTTATATTTCATGTAATTGGGTCAAAATAGATAATTGACCGATAATATTATTTTTTATAACATTTTTAACTAGCTAGGAGAATAAAAATTTTATTGTCATGTTCACTATTTTCTCACTTAAATTATTTGAGAGTAAATAATTGTCATCTTAATAAATTAGAGTTAATATCTCAAAAAGTCACAGAACTACAATGATTTATAGAGAAAATTTATTGAACTTTGTTTTGTATCAATAAGCTTTAAAAAAACTCTTTATCCTAAAATAAAATAAAATAAATATAGCAAAATAAATTAAACTATTTTTATACTAGAGATGTGTGTATGTTTGCATATATATATATATATATATACACACACACACACACACACACACTC